TTCATGTCCCCCCAGAAAACATTAACATAAGAATTGCATGGCATTCCAGAAAAGCCAAAATTATGGAAAAAGCAAAAGATTGTGTCTTTTGGGAGACAGGAATGAATACTCGGAATAAAGAGGGTTTTTAGACAGATAAACCACTATCTGTCCTACTGTACTGGTGGATACATGGCACACAGTTGTCTATACCATAAGATATACACAAAAAGTAAACTCATGTGCACTTCTGCCTTGACCTGCACAGCTTACAGAATGAAAACAACAGACATACCCACCTAGAAAGGCTGAGGTGGGGTATGCAGCAGCCCAGAAACGCAGCCCATTTACCACTGCGTATACCACTGTGTTTACCACGTAAACGTATACCACTGAGGAGGGGGGCTCATAGTTATACAGCTGAGCAAGGAGAAACATTTATTATGCACATAGAATTAGAAGGCTTGGTGGGTGTTCTCTCTAAGAGAGCATTCTCAGGTTTGTCCAGGAGGAGGACACGGTGGTTGACAGTGTCTGCATACACTGGTTTTAGCTAACAGTTAGTCATTCGTAATACCTATACCTAGACCAGAGGAAGGCTCTGTCATTCCTCTGCTTCTGACCCAGGGAAGACTTTGCTATTTCCAGGGGTCTGAAGCATGTCCTTGACATGGCAATAATGCACATTCACTCAGGACTTCATTCAGTCCCCACACACATCGACTTGGGTGGTAATTATGGGCCCATTGTAACAAACGTGCCATTTAAGTCAGGATGCTGATAACAAAGGAGGCAATGACTATGATGGACAGAGGACAGTGAACAATCTGTGTTCGTTCCACTCAATTTTCCAGTGAACCTAAAAGTATTTGAAAAAAATAAACCTCTTTAACGAGAAAGGGGATATGTTATTACTTTATTTTTCTGTCAAGCCAGTTTACTATCATTTAGAAAAGCTTTTAGTCCATGACAGATTTGGGGAAAGGAGCTATTCTTTTGTCGGCAGCCCATTTACCACTGCATATACCACTACGTTTACCACGTAAACGTATACCACTGAGGAGGGGGGCTCATAGTTATACAGCTGAGCAAGGAGAAACATTTATTATGCACTACCTTTTGTTGTTGGTACCTTATCTGAGGTGACCAGACTGGCTTGCTCATGTCACCCCAGAAAACATTAACATAAGAATTGCATGGCATTCCAGAAAAGCCAAAATTATGGAAAAAGCAAAAGATTGTGTCTTTTGGGAGACAGGAATGAATACTCGGAATAAAGAGGGTTTTTAGACAGATAAACCACTATCTGTCCTACTGTACTGGTGGATACATGGCACACAGTTGTCTATACCATAAGATATACACAAAAAGTAAACTCATGTGCACTTCTGCCTTGACCTGCACAGCTTACAGACATAACAACAGACATACCCACCTAGAAAGGCTGAGGTGGGGTATGCAGCAGCCCAGAAACGCAGCCCATTTACCACTGCGTATACCACTGTGTTTACCACGTAAACGTATACCACTGAGGAGGGGGGGCTCATAGTTATACAGCTGAGCAAGGAGAAACATTTATTATGCACATAGAATTAGAAGGCTTGGTGGGTGTTCTCTCTAAGAGAGCATTCTCAGGTTTGTCCAGGAGGAGGACACGGTGGTTGACAGTGTCTGCATACACTGGTTTTAGCTAACAGTCAGTCATTCGTAATACCTATACCTAGACCAGAGGAAGGCTCTGTCATTCCTCTGCTTCTGACCCAGGGAAGACTTTGCTATTTCCAGGGGTCTGAAGCATGTCCTTGACATGGCAATAATGCACATTCACTCAGGACTTCATTCAGTCCCCACACACATCGACTTGGGTGGTAATTATGGGCCCATTGTAACAAACGTGCCATTTAAGTCAGGATGCTGATAACAAAGGAGGCAATGACTATGATGGACAGAGGACAGTGAACAATCTGTGTTCGTTCCACTCAATTTTCCAGTGAACCTAAAAGTATTTGAAAAAAATAAACCTCTTTAACGAGAAAGGGGATATGTTATTACTTTATTTTTCTGTCAAGCCAGTTTACTATCATTATAAAAGCTTTTAGTCCATGACAGATTTGGGGAAAGGAGCTATTCTTTTGTCCCAAATTGAGTCTCTCTGTCCTGAACCAAAAGTGGAAAGTCTGGACCCTTGCCTCTACTGCACAAGTCAGACTGTGCCTCCATTTCCCCCACTTGGCAAATTGAGCAGAGAAAGTAACCAGAATGCACCGGTTAGGTGCAGCAAATGTCTGCTTCCTGTGGAAAAGGAGAGCAGGCGGGCAGCTGGAATTCGGATCCTCACCATCAGGCAGGAAAGCAAGCCTCCAGGCAACTGGCAGCCAGACATGCCTGAGCTAGTCTTCATGAAGTGCAGAAGCTTGGGAGAATCCTCCACTCTGGCCTCAGACACTAAGATAAGCTTGAAGAACATTCTGAAGGAGCAGCCCTGTCCTGGTTTATCCTGTGCCAATCTCACAAAGTGGGCACCGTGTTCTTATTTACTGAAGCATAGCCAACCATCATTGCACAGTGTTCTAGCCAGCCAGTTATCCTGAATGACATTTGCTTCACTAGTGAAGCCTTTGATGTTTCCACGCTCAGTAACCAATGCTCTGGTCTCATTCTGACGTCACATTTGAAATCCTTTGTCCTCATCTCTGGATCCCTTTATGACAGAAGAGTCTACCCTACTCACTTTGGGTTAACCCATGAGCACTTATGCACGTTGTTAATACTTTGGTATTTCTTTATTCACACACACACACACACACACACACACACACACACACACACACACACACACACACAAAAAAAAAAAAAAGTTGACTACTCATAAGATATTGTAGTATCATCAATACCGTAATATTACAGGGAGGGTAGAGGTCAAGGGAGAGATGGAAGTCTTCCCCAATAGCTTCAGGTTCTAGAATTACATGAGACATTTTGACTCTGTAGAGGTAATTCTGATAAACTGAGACAGCACCCTAAGCCTTTGAGGCATTCTGTGAGCTCAGTGGTGTTAGTCAGAGGCAACCAGCAAGGGACTTGTGAAAGAACTTAGAAAGAGGTGCAGCTAGGGAGGAAAATGGAATGGCAGCTGGGCTGGGCAGAGGTTGTGTGAGTAAGGTCTGACCACACACAGAGGCATGGCCATAACCTCCTCTCACCAATTCCTGGGCCTCACCTGGAGGAGACGACTGGGGTGAATGCACTGGACAATGGCCACATGGGCAGTTTACTGTGTGAGCAAGTGGCCAGCAGTGCCGCCAGAGGTCTGACACTGCAAAGACTCACAGGGAAGATGGGCTTGACTGTCTACCGTGTGAGCAAGCGGCCAGCAGTGATGCCAGAGGTCTGACACTGCAAAGACTCACAGGGAAGATGGGCTTGACTGTGGGCAGCAGACCAGCCTCTGGTGACAAGCCACAGTGTGATAGCGAGGACTTCTAGAGAAACCAGAAGATGTGTGCCCCACTCAGGATGGGGCGGAGGTGATAAGAACAGAAATTACCCTTTGAGAAGTTGGATGGGGCGGAGGTGATAAGAACAGAAATTAACCTTTGAGAAGTTGCTATGAATCTCCCCTAACGTGGTTCACTAGGGCACAGTTAGCCAGACCCAGCCTGTTTGTGGCCCTTCCTTTCTCCCTCATTTCCAGATGTTTCCAAAGCCTACTTTCCACCACAGTTCAGTGACCTCTGGGCTCTCCAATTCTTACTCTGGCATTCGTGGTAGATGTGGAGCCAGGGGAGTTTAGAGCCCCATGAACCAAGCAGGAAGCTCAACAATGTTCTTACAGAAACAGGAAACACAGACACTACTACCTGGGAAGCTAAGACATGGAGAGGTATCTGAATCCGACCACTTTGGTGTGAATGTCAGCTCTGCCCCTTGACTTCTGTGTGACCTTAGACAAGTCATGCAATATTATTATCCTATAAAATGGAGACAAATAGCAGCTCCCACCAAGCAGGCTGTGGTGAGCATCAAATGAGACTTTAACACCCTCGTCACAGGACTGAAGTAGGGCCTAGTAAGAACCAGTGCTCGCCTTCCCAGGCAACCTTATTTCAGCTCCTTGCTTCCTCTCCTATCTACATTAACTATTTTCTAAGTAGCATGGTGATCTTTTAAAACTGTGATTAAGCTTATCTGCCTTGTGTTGGAAACTTCTACAGTATCTCACTGTCAGCACCAAATGCAGCTTGCCAGGTCCCCACCTGCCTCTCCTTCAGTACAGGTGTGTGATCACTAGCCTCCCTGGCCTCTTGTCTGCCTGAAAAAGAGGAATACCTGGTCCTCAAAGTCAAGACCCAGTGCAAATATCATTTCCTCAAGGGTGCCCTCCCTAACTTCCCCCTTACTTCTTAGCACTAATCCTACCAGTAACTGCTTTATTAATTCTGTTGATGGCCCCACTAGAATGCAGTTCCTTGGTGCCATTCAAGCCTAGCATTAGTAAAATTCAGACCAGGGCTTGCCCAATGCATTGTTATCTGTGAGGTTCAGGTACTGTGGAATGAAACTAGTTTGGTGGCCAATAGCAGCACTCTGAACACCACATCCCTAAGATCCAAACCCTCTATGACAATGGTTGTCAACCTGTAGGTCATGACCCCTTTGACATAGCTCTAGCTCCAAAAAATATTTTACATTCAAATGCGTAACCGTAGGAAAATTGCAGTTATGATGTGGCAATGAAAATAATTTTATGATTGTCGTCACCACAACGTGAGGAACTGTATTAAGGGGTCACAGCATTAGGAAGGTTGAGAACCAATGCTCTATGAGTTAAGGCCTGGTCATCTGAGTGCACACAAATACTACATACACACAGAGCCCAGAGTTCCAAAGTCAACACTTTATTCTCTGGTTCTCTCTTAGGTGTTCTAGTTTGCAAGCATGAATAAATGGAATCAACCATAGTCCTCTCCCTTAATGCCCTTCATAAAAAAAAAAAAAAAAAAAAAAAAAAAAAAAAAAACATCACGGATTAGCAGGTCTCCTGCTTTCCCTAAAGAGGATGGGATTGGAGTCCCACAGCAGGCTGGAGGACTGCAGTCACATGGGGTTAACCATCACATCTCCTGCCAACTCCTCTCACTGAGCAGCCAGAGACCGCAGGCAGCTATAAATAGCCCAGCAGTTCTCCACTTGCAGCAAGGGAATGAACTTGGCAACAAGAGCCATAGGGGGCAAGGCAGGCAAAGACTCTTGAGCCTGTTTTCTGTTCATCCAGTGTATGCCCCTTGGGAATGCTGCAAGATACAGCAGACAGTGGAGAGCTCTTCACCTCCAACTGGGAGCACAAAGACCAGAAAAGACCTACTTCACCCGAGTTCACCTTAGTGCCCTCGTCAGCAAAAAAAAGAAAAAAAGGAGCCAAAGAGTAGGAATAAGTGTTCTCCCAAGGACCCCTGTTGAGAGCTTCCCAGGGGGACCCCCAACTCCCAGACAGTGAACAGTTCTGAATAAGAACATCCTTCCTTTGGACTGGCCTTCCAGGTCACTCAGTTTACAGGACAGTCTCTCGAATGACACCGATGAGGCTGTGTGGCCGCTCAGCCTCTGCTCGATGCTGGGGCCTCCTCTCCTCTTTTGGCCTTCCAGCCAGGGAAAAGGTGCTCAGGTCTCCACAGCTGTGCAGGTGCAGCAGGCCCGGCTGTCTCCTCGAGGTCAGCACATGGGCCTGGGAAGTGCTGGGCTGTGGTGGGGCCATTATCTTTGGGGAAAGAGGAGAAGGGAAGATGTTAGCCTTACTGGGGATGGTTTTGTGTCTGTCTGTGGATTTTAATGTTTAATTGCTTCAGAACAGAATACTATTTTCCAAAGTAGAATCTACTTAGAGTTAATTCTAAACATGTTTTAAACTTTCTCTCTTTTGTAAGGTTTTGAAGAAATTCTCCTATTTTCTATTGTTTTAGCAGTAGACAAGCCGTACACAATGTACTTTGTTGTTGTATTTTTAACATTGTTCTCTTCATAGTTCTCCAATATCCCTGTGTTCCAAGTCAATGAGTGACTCCTAATGATGGAGAGGGATGTGGGCAGCACAGCTTGTGAGGAACGTCAAGTCCTACCTGCCTCCTATTCTGACAGTCTATGTGGAAGCTTGATTTGTTGTTGTTGTTGTTGTTGGTGGTGGTGGTGGGGGTGGGGGTGGTGGTGGGGTGTGTGTGTGTGTACATGCATGTGTGGAGTACACTCTATGAATGTGTAGACCAGAGTTGACATTCAGTGTCTTCCTCTATCATTCTCCACCTCATTTTTTGGAGAGAGTCTCTCACCGCACCTGATGCTGGCCACTTTGATTAGACTGGGAGGCCAACAAGGCCTCAGGATCTGCTAGAGTTGCAGGCCAGTGCCACCATGACTTGCTTCTACAGGGATACTGAGGATCCAAACAGTGGTCCTCATGCTTGCACAGCAAACATTTTACCCACCGAGCCATCTCCCCAGCTCCAAGCCTGAGATTTTTAAACAAGAAGCAGGTGGTACCAACACAGAGCCACTGGTCTGGATCAGGTAATGAATTTATAAAATGCTCATTAAGACCAGTGATGCTTCTGATGGATCTGATAACCCTTGGATAAACAGTGTACAAAGCAGGACACGATCTGTGAAAGCTGGAGAATGGCTCTACTGCCAGGCCTGTCCTTAATGTGTCATATAACTTTAAACACAGAACAGCATTACTAAACAAAAATGCAAAAATATAGACTATTTCTCATCCAGCTAGGACTGATGAAGGAGGATTGGCCAGCTGACAGGTCTGTGGAAGGTTGAACTGTCTTGTCACTATGGTGTGTGATACTGTTAGTGCCTTGGGAAAGAATCGGGAATCTCACTGCCAGCCAACCTCATGGGACAATCATCCCAAAGCCACTCTGTTCCAGTCTGATTTCTCAAGGCCATGAAACATTTAATGCCCACGAAAGCTGTGATATTAAATTTTCTCACTGTCTTAATTATATCCATCTATAAGGCCTGTTTCTGTCTCCTAATTAAGACAATTGCACTGTTTGTCAAACTTGGCTATTATAAGACAAGTGGGTTTTTTGTTTGTTTTGTTTTGCTTTGCTTTGTTTTGTTTTACTGGGGATGAGTAAAATGGATCTAAAGAAAGTGTGGAAAGCTGAGTAGAGATGGAAGTAAAATGTCCTCTTGCATTGTCCTTGCCTCCTTTTGTCTGGGGAGGGGTGGAGCACTGATGTCCCCATGTGGGGTTCAGAAGCAGAAGGCCTCAGCTGATGAGCCAGAGCCTGTAACAATAACCTCCATACTTGAACTTCCAACTTGTCTGGGGCAAAACAGGCGCTTGTCAGGGCCTGTATTTCCTGTAACCCAGAGCTAACCACCAGGGATCAGGACAGGAAAAGTGCAAACAGAGTGCCTGGCAGATGCCCTGGAACTTTCTTCATCACCCTTTCAGCCTTCAAGAAGCAACTCCAAATGCTTGCTTCTGTTTATGGGCTACTGGGGCCAGACAGAGGAAGAGGCAAGAATGACACTTGGAGCACCTCAGAGATGCCTGGTCGGACATGTCTGCCACCCACAGCCTAACCCGGAGCCACTGACTAACCACTCTTGAAGAGCAAGCTGCAGGACAGTATGGAAGCCAAGAGTCTCCTCTAACTAATGGCCCCTAGGGGACTGGGAAAGAATCTGACTTTGAATTTTGGCATAAATAAATAAATAAATAAATAAATAAATAAATAAATGCCAGTGAGTAGAACAGGGGATCAGAAAGGAAAGTGAAGAGATGAACTGTTCAAGTCTACCTGGAATGGTGAAATAGTGATTACACTGAGAACCAGCCCAATTCAGCATAAGACACATCTGTTGGGCACTCCACTTGCAAAGGCACAGAACAGGTAACACTGGGCATTATGGTGTATTGTGTCCACAGCATCTACCCCACTAACCCAGAGAAGGAATAAATAGCTAACAGTAACCCCAGCTCCCAGATGGGTAAAGAGAAGGGTCTTACTGTAAGTAAATTCCATGGGGCTGGAGCTACCTCACCCAACCCTTTCCTTTAAAGATGAGAAACCCGAGGCCCACATGGAGTCCATGAATGCCTAGTTTTGTCTTTTCCAAGAGCAGCTTCAGTTTAGGGAGCCTATTACTTTTTAATCTATGGAGAGAAAGATATTTATTCCTCTAAGTCCTGTCAGCTACCTTGTCTGGCCCTGCAACTCATGGGCACATAACAGCTCCTAGAACCTTGCCAGTCTTGAGAGTCTGTCATTTTTAAGGGCTGAGAAAACACCACATCCTAGGCAGCCTCCCACTGAGGAAATCCTAAGCAGAGTGAATTCCACAGTGTCCAGAACCTTTGCTTTCTACCAGGCATGGTTCCACCTGCCAGAAAATTGGGTTCTCTTCCCTTGGGCCAAGAGCACTGTGGGAAAGTGGCAAAGGGCAGAAGAAGAGCTCTGTAGTTTCCTCTCTGATGATATAACCCCCACTCCCAGGACCCTGGAGACTGTAACCATGGACTTCCTCCAGCCACTGTAGACACCGGTTATTAGATGTGTGTCTGAGATTGGTCATAACAGTACCTGTTCTAGGAAACTGGCACTTGTGATGGCTTCCTCCATGTGTTCCTCGTCAGACTTCAGAACGGATTTTATGTTCTCTACAAGTTCATGGATGTCCGGAGTCATGCTGCAGGAGGACTGCTCCAGGAACCTGGCCACTAGCAGCTTGGTGTCTATGTAAGACCTGTAATCTATCAAAGAGTGGGGTCTGCATCTCGATGCCCTTGGTCGCACACCTCTCCTCAGGGTCACCGCAGCCAGATCTAGCCTCCTTTCTGTCTGAGTGGCAGCTTCGCAGCTGAGCACTGGGGTAGCTGTGGGCAGAGGTAAATGACATATCACCATTGGCCAAGCCCCCTCTGGACACTGGCCGTAAATCTCAGTGTAGACAACATCTAGCAGACGCCTGGGGCCATGCATGTCCATCTCACCTCTCTCTTGAAGAAGGAAAGGAATGAAGGCAAATGAAACCTATGCAAGCCTATTGTGTGAAGTGCACTTCCAATAGGACACTGGACCATGGCACATGAACACCTCCCAAGGCAAAGACAGATGACACAGCACAGAGTTCACAGTGGAGCGTGTTTCATGGGGTACAGCAGGTAGATGGGAATGGATGACCAAGCAGAAAAAACATGGTGGAGTGATGAAAGAATGTTAGTGTGGAATGGTCAAAGAGAAGAGGGGCTGATGACAGACTTGTAGGATGGCACAAAGTTTACTGTCACAGTACCTTTGGCCTAAACATCCTCAATGGCACTGTACTGACTTCTATTACGGAGGCTCACACCATGGCTATGAGGCGGATCTATGGCTATTTATAAAACTTAGGTGCAGAAAGTTACATCATTCCCGAAGTCAAGAGAGGCTCTAAAAATCCACCGCAGGCTCTTATTTCCACAGCTGCCTCCATCCATAAAGGTATAAAGACTGCAGGAAGCTGTTTCTCCATGAACTAGATGAAGAAATGAATACTCAGGTCTGATTCCCCATGTGTCCATAAGCCACCATTAGCCTTCAGTGCACACAACTGTCGACTTGAATCTGTAAAGGCCTTGCAAGTGGGGATTTCGATACTGATGGAAGCAGGAAGCAGAGGGTGGAAGTGTGGACGGAGAAAGGGAAGGTTTCCTTTTCCTTTGGAGAGAGGTAGACATGAGTTCTGTCCTTCCAACTTTCCACATGCATGTTATAGACAATGAGTCTTCCAAACACCCAGAATCACAGGCTAAAGCCATGTGGGGACAGAGTGGGGTTTACACTCGCTCGCTGGAGGCAACTTGGTGCCTTCCCCAGCAAAATAAGCCAAAGGGTAGATGCCCTTTCCTCCACAGGACTGCAGAATGCAAAGGGGTCAAGGAAGGTCTCCATTTGCTGGGCCAACATCTAAGTGCTCCTGGAAGCTGGCGCATAGCCAGCTCGAAGACTCAACTTGCCAGGTAGGATACAGGAGATCCACAAGGAAGGTGGGGTTTGGAATAAGAGGCCAGACTGCCAAGCTTACTGGTCTGCAGAGGCACACAGCTAGTGTCAGGAGGTGGGACTTCCTTCCCACCTGGAAGCTGCTGCAGAGACAAAAGAAGTGTCCTCTGTGACTTCCATATGGTCAGTCCAGAGTTGTGACAAATGACACTCACTGTCAGAGGGACAGAACAGAGACCACAAAGGCCAGACAGGACCCAAGAGAGCAAGGTTAGAGGATGTCCAATTAATCTGCAAAGAGTTTCCAAAGAGCAGAGTGCAGCTACTAGACTAATTCCCTAAAAGAGGCCCTTGCTGGCTGAATTACAAAAGCTGTTCACTTTATTCCTTTGCTTCCTTTATTTTTACATACTTTTCTATAATGAGAGATGTTTGTAGATATTAAGGTATTCATATATTCAAAAAAGGCTCAATGTCATTATTTTGAAATTTTCAAATTATTCAATATCTATACTCAAGCAAACCCCAAAACAAAGAGGGAGAGAGATGAAGGAGGTGAACACGTTTCACTATATGCAAAGTTTTTCAAGCATGGTCAGATTTCAATAATTAAGACTACTCAAACACAGTAGAAAAGATAACAAATACAAAATCATGGAGCCAAAGAGTAAAAGCAAATGCCCCTTGACTGGTTCTCACAGGCCTGCCAGCAACTAGAAATTAGGATACGGTTGACACAATAATCTTGCAGTTACGGCCAGCACAGCATCAAGGGCAGCCAAAAGCCACTGCCAATGATTTCAGGAACAAATGCTACCAGCCTCAAACAAAGTGCAGGGCCAGTAATCAGCTAAAGGCACTTGCCTCCAACATGGCAACCTGAGTAGAGTCCCCAGGACCCACATGGTAGAGGAGAACTGACCCATACAAATTGTCCTCAAACCTCCATATATGTACTATAGTGTACCCACCCTCCCCTGAAACACACAAATTATTTTTAATTTTAAAGACATACCACATGTATTCTCCAAATTTTCCATGGCCTCTTAACCTCCCTCAAGATACTGCATAAAACTTGCACGGTCCTCAGCTAGGAAGAGCTACCTGATTGTACCAGGCCCCTTCAGCCCATACTTAGCACCAGTCAGATAAACACAGTGGTCTACCAAAGGCTTAGGGGATGATGTCACCTCTCTCCTCTGAATGGTGAAGCAAGGGGTCACTCTTTGACCTTGTCCTCAGTGGTGGGAGGGCCCTCTGGCTTCTCGGAGGTTGCACCAGGTTGGAGATAGCAGTGGATGCAGATATGTTTTCTTCACCAGTTGGGTTAGGAAGAACCCCACCTGGTTTAAAAACAAAAACAAAAGAAACACATAATTCAACAGCTGCAGCCTTCAAAATGTTGGTCAGGAAACACCTGCAGGCCCAAACCTGCCAAGGCAAGAGTAATACAATTAATAACATTTACTTAGGCTGGTGGCCCAGTCAGTTTTCCATTCCCAGAACCATGGCAAAGCCTTCATCTCCAAATCACCCTGCCACACTTAAAACAAGCAAACCAGGAAAACAATAAGGCCAAGGGGCAAAATTAAGAAGCCATGGGAGCACATGAATTTGGCTTATTTCCTAGGGGTGTCCAGAATCTTCTCACTAGGGCATCTTGATGTAGCCTCCAGGAACCTGAGCTTTGCACAGCATCTGGCTCTTCAGGGAGGTGCCACCCACATGGGCGAGGGTGCTATCCAAGACTAGCAGATGCACATCTGCCTGGCCCAGAGTTTGGGATGCTCTCAGCCGTCCAGCCAAGGAGCCAGTGGCTGCAAAATGAATCAGCAAATCACAATGGAACTGCGTAATCCCTACCCTGGAAATGCAGCAGCATCAACTGGGAAGCTAATGTTCTGGTTGGAAAAAAATCCCTGTTAAAAACAAATAAATGAATACAAAACACAAACATGCTTAAGGGGAGATAGTGCTGTTTTACAGTTCTTCTTACGGTAGGAGTATAGCTCAGCAGCAGGGGCACAGAGAGCCCCCTCCCAGATGTAAGGTGACTAGTAGACTGTTCCACACAGCCCTGCTGAACAGCTACCTCCGTCGGAAATGGCTGAAAGTCAATCCATTATTCATTGCCATCTGCAATTTTGTGCCAGTGGACAATTCTCTAGGCCATTTAAAACCTCCCCAAAGACAGAAAGCTGGGACAATGGTGTCCTTAAATTACAAGGATAAATGTAAACGGACTCTAGCGTAGGCCACGGGACTGAAAAATCTTACTTGTCTTGGCATTAAAACCCTTGGTTGTAAATGACAGGGAGAACATACATTGCAATACACGAAACTCATGTCCCTTTGAAAGACTTCAGTTCATTTTAACAGAACAAAAAAAATTGATTAAGAAATACAGGAATCACAAATTAATCTCCACTCTAGTCCATGGGTTCCTAGGGATAGTTTGATTATTCATAAAAAGATTCTAGGTGTTTATCTTTACTTCAGTATATTTTTTTTCTTCTTCATGTTCACATTTAGATCTTATTTCTAAGCCCTACAAGTTGACAGTATTTTGGCCCTGACAAGAGGATGTGGGCTGGACCATTTGCTCCAAGAATACCTTACCTCCAGCCAAAACGGTCAGAACATTCACTAGATGTTCTAATCTATTGAATTATGGCTTGGAGAATGAAGATGTGTGTTACCTTGAGTTATTTGTGTGCAAACTGGCTCTGATGGGCTCGCAGCAGCCTCTGGTCCTTCTGGCATTTGGAATGAAGACTCCTGTGTCACAAAGGAAGGGAGAAAGAGGATTTTTTAGATAGATAGATAGATAGATAGATAGATAGATAGATAGATAGATAGATAGATAGAAAAGGTTCAAATCATTGCTCAAAGGACCACAGTAAACTCCTTCAGATAATGTGAGGTATGCCACCTGTTTCCTTTGGCCTTCAAATCATTGCTCAAAGGACCCCAGTAAACTCCTTCAGATAATGTGAGGTATGCCACCTGTTTCCTTTGGCCATACCTGCTCCTGGTCCATCTGGCTCACCACAGCTTCATAAGGAGGTGGGGGGTCCAGCGGACAGAACACTTCTACACCCTTGATTCGTGCTCCATAGATATGAGGCAATGGGATGACATCAGGACCAACCATCCTAGAAAAAGCATCTGGGCATCAGGAGGCACGCTCTGCACACAGGCCCCTGCAATAGACCCTCTCTCTGCCTTTGTCTCCAGACTGGGGAAAACAGCTCACAGTGACTCAGTCCAGAAGAGGGATAACCATCCAAACTGTCCTAGGAAAATGCCCAGGAGGGTCCTTAGGCAAATGATGGTGCATAAAATGTAACACCTTTTTTCCCTTTTAATCACATCAGTGAAAAAACAAACAATAGTCCATAGAGACAGAAAGCATGGGTGACTGCCAGGCTCTGGGGAAAGGGGCCTAGGAACTGACTGTTTATGTGTTGTGGCATTTCCTTAGAATGAGACAGAGCTAGTGGTTGCACAATGTGGTGAATATTCTAAACACCACTGAATCATATAGTTAACAGTCAAAACAACTAAGGATTAGAGAAATCTTGATTCTCTCCTGTATTAGTACACAGAGAAAATTTTCTGCCTTGTTTTCCCTAATGTCTGGTTCATGAGAGAAATTCACTGTCATTTTTTAAAATTTTTTCCTTCATTTTACATACCAACCACACTTCCCCCTCCCTCCCCTTCTCCCTCTTCCTTGCCCCCACTTTCCCCCAACCCACTCCCCATCCACTCCTCAGAAAGGGTAAGGCCTCCCATGGGGAGTCAACAAAGCCTGGTATCTTCAGGTGAGGCAAGACCAAGCCCCTCCCCCATGCATTGAGGCTGGGGGGCATTGATTTCAAACAAAACGTGAGCAATGTCACAGCTTGAAGACAAGACAGAGCTAGGGAAAAATCACAAAATGATTCCCACATCTTCCTCAGGCAGACATTCTGCACTCCCTGGCTGGCTAATGATGCATTGTGTGAGGAATTGCATAAAATTTAAAAAACAGTGTCATATTAAGGACAGTAGAGAGGTGGATTAAGGTTGGCATTCTATTTTTCTCTGAACTTGATATAGCAAATCTGGCTGAGTTGACAAAAAGATCTGTGCTCATTTGGAATGTGGACACCCCACTCCCAACAACAAAACTATAGCTAACTGACAACTTCAGCAGAGAAACTTTGAGTCTCACAATTACCATAGAGAGGCTGACTTGAGGCAGAGTTACTCTATGTGATGCCTGAAGATCCAGATGTAGAGCCATGCTTCCCACCATGATGACAATGGACTAAACCTCCGAACCTGTAAGCCAGCCCCAATTAAATGCTTTCCTTTATAAGAGTTGCCATAGTCATGGTGTCTCTTCACAGCCACAGAATACTGACTAAGATAGAGACATACAAGACTGTTATTTCCTGGAAAGTTGTTTTCTCTGGGCTCCTCTACAACTCAGACCTAGCAGTGGAGAAGTATCAGCTTGGGAGGTTCTAAAACTAGAGATGGACCACAGAGAACATGTGTTTTATTGCTGTCCCTCTTCACCATCTGCAAGTCTCCTCTTACTGTATGAAATAATCAAATCATCTCACCCTGGTCCCAGCATTGCCAGCAGGACACTCCCCAAACAAAGAAAAGCCTTGCTGTTCCAGATCCAACAATGCCCTCTGACCACTCAGTGAGTAATAGCCCCTTCCCCAGCTTTGTGACCCTCTTCTGTCTCTTCCTGGGCAGGTGTTCCAGAAGGGGTAAGGTAAGATTCAAAGAACATTAGTAATGCCTAGGTGGAACTTATTTCAAATGCATGCATAGCTGTACTACGTACATATATGTAATATCCATACATGTACTATGGATATTAAAAAATATACATGCCTGATCCCCAAATATCAAGCTAAAGATGCTAATTTTCCTGTAGGCCCCAGAGATTTTTTTCCTTTATGTGGTTTAACCTCTAACTCAGCATAAGGTCACTTCTCTATGGATGCCAGAGCTGACTGGGTAACCCAGTTGGCTATTCTGAGCTTGGAAGACCTCTGGGCACTGACTACTGCAATCCTAACACACAAGTTAGTGATCTAGACTGAGCCCTTGTCCTGGAAAAGGAAGCATGTCTAACTCATTCTATAATCCAGCATAGCACTAAGCAAGCAGTGGAGGATTGATAGTGTTTAGTGAGTAAATAGAGATTATTCTTTTAAGGTTCAATTCCAGGAATCACTAACAACCAGACAAATGCCCATTTCATTCTACAAATAGATTTAAGAAAAGAGTCAAAATTTGAGCTGGAATTTGAAAAGGAAAAAAGCATGGTATCCATTTAAAAATAATCCAGAGAGATTCAATTAATATTTTTTTTTCTTTGTGGTTGCAAAGGATTTCATGACTGTTGGGACCCGCTGATGGTATTTTAATGAAACATCGATTCTGCCTAACGGGGCACGTTTCCAGGGCAACAGGAATTCTCAATCATGTCAAATTACAGCTGTTATCTCCCTGGGTGTCAGTTTTCTCTAGGAAGCTAATTGAAATTGAAAAAGTGTATCTCTAGGTCAAGGTTGAACTTATCTTTGGAGTCATCTGGTTTATCAGAGAGAAATGAGACGACAGGGAAGAGAACAACCCACACAGGACAACCTGGCTGGATGTTAGAGAAAAAAAAGGGGGAAGCTCAGGCTGAGCATTCCGGAGACCATACAAGTCTGAACATGGAACATACCACGGAGACCCCACGTTGCTTAGGAATGATACCTGCGGTTCATCCTTGGTGTGCAGGAGTAAAATGTGGCAAAGTAGGAAGGGGGAGGCACCGGCGGCACAAAGTCATCTGGGTCTGGAATCCGTCCATGCTCTTCCACTTCTTCTGCAGACATTTGGGATTCATCCTGTTTGAACAGCACGACAGGAGGAAAGCATCGGATCATAGAGCAGAGATGGACACCACACAGTGATCCCACACACAGTAGGGATGGACAGCTAGGCCAAAACACCACAGGGTGATCCCACATACAGTAGGGATGGACAGCTAGGCCAAAATACCACACAGTAATCTCACACACAGTAGGGATGGACAGCTAGGCCAAAACACCACATGGTGATCCCACACACAGTAGGGATGGACAGCTAGGCCAAAACACCACACAGTGCTTCCACACGCAGTAGAGATGGGCAGTTATAAGTAAAGACTGCACAGCATTTCCTCATACTTACAATACATGGCCTTCTGCTGGCAAAGATCTGCAGGTAGCGCAGAGCAGCAGCCACCAAACACACTGTGGTGGTCAGGGCATTCAAGGCACACAGGGCAAACAGAACTTTCTGGAAACAACAAGACCACTGATCAGAGTATTGTAAAATCACGTCAATAACAATGCCCAAACTGGCAAGCTTCCAAGCAGACAAGGGCAGGGAGTTAGTATCTGGCTTATGGAAGTGCTGAAATAAATGCTGGCTAATATAACCCTCTGCCAGAATGTAGATCTCTTCATTTTAAAACCTTATAGTTCCAGCTATTTGAAAACAAAGGCAGGAGGATCATAAGTTCATACCCAGACTGGACAATACAGTAAGACTGTCTAAACAAACAAATAAAAACAAAACCAATCTAAACTAGGTATAGTGAGGTACACCTATAATCCCAGAACCCTGAGGGTGTGAGGCAAGAGGGTCCCTGTTAAGGGTCAGACTCCAATTCAAATATTAAGTAACCTAAAAAAAAAAAAAAAGACAAACCCTGAAGCTCCGTGTCTCACAAACTCACAAAGGCCTAGTGTTACACACAAGGCAGTCAGACCTCCTTGTTCATGGGGTTCAACAGATTCAACGAACCCCAAACAGAAAATGTTCAAAAAAGAACAAGGCTGTGCTGAACATGCACAGACCCTTTTCATGTCATTTTTTTTTTCTTAAATGATACAGCAACTATTTGCAAACTACTTTGCACCAGGTACTGCCCCTAAAGATTGCTCTAGCATGCAGAAGAGTGTGTGCAGGTTATGTGCAAACCTATGCCATTGTATGGAAGGGGCCTGGGTGTGACAGACTTCAGTGTCCTCAGGGGTGCTGGAGCCAATCTCCCAGGGACACTTTATATAATGCTATCTGGAAATGTTCCTTCCAGAAGAACAGTGAAAAACCTTCTGTAATTGGTGCCCTGCCCCATCCCACAGTAGTGCTTCCCAGCAGGATACAATCTGCTTAACCTGCCACCACTGCTTCTACTTTGGCAGCAACTGGCACTGATGCCCCAGGCACCCAGCTACTCACAGCAGGAACCAGGAGCAGCCAGGGAGTAAATGGGGCTTCTTTCCTCAAATAGCAACAAAGGCAACACCGAAAGTGGCTGTGGCTACAGCCCTGGCTCCTCCTTCAGGGGCTTTCCCCAAGCTAAGTCAAGCTTGGAAAGTTCCAGATGACTCAACTACCAAATATGCAGAAGGCAAAGCAAGTAGGTTATTTTTTAAGTCCTGTGCTACCCAGAGATGGCAGCTCTGAAGAGTTCTCTCCCTGAGCTTCCTCCTCCTCTTCCTTCTCCTCCTTCTCCTCCTCCTCCCCAAAATCAACAATCTAAAGAGAGTCAGCGGTGGTTGACTAACCAGCAGCTAAGGGGTCACCAACTGATTTTGTCACCCACTGCAGCCAGGCCACAGTTGTCCAGCTCCATTGGATTGGTTTTGCATTTCACTTTGACCTGAATCCTTTGCATATTTTCCTAAATTTCTTTTCCTTACTATAATTGCTACCTATTAAACAAGATACAAAGAACTCAAGTGTCTCCTGCATTTTCCAGCTGATCTTAGTCTGTATGTCCTAGAATGGCAACATTCAACAAGTTCACACCACTCACTGCAAATGAATGACAATGCCAAGTGAGTGTACACCTGAGGCTCTCCTGAAAGCTATACCTCAGATGTGTGTATAAACACAGTTAGATTCCTTTCCAACTTCTTTTTAGCAGTTCATATTCTTAAACGCAATGAACCCTCTCCATACTCCAGATGCAATATGTGGCCTTCACTGCACTCCTCTAACTGAGGGTCATTAGTGAGGCTCTTAGCAGTCTGACTATTAGAAGGCCATCACCGAAAGGGAATATCTCAAGGAGCCTTCTTGGGCCCCCATGGTGCATTTCTCAGTGGAGCCTGTGAGCTGTCAATCATACCTTAAGCAGAAGGTGAACAGCACTGCAAGGCTGAACTGGAAAGAGTTTCAAGGCATTTTCTTTGTCTGTGCATTTGGCTGGTTGAAACTCTTCGCAACAGAAGCAGATCTTGCCTTCACCCAAGTCCACCTTAAGGAAAGATGAAGAACAATGATTGCTACACCACACAGCATATATTGGACAGGATGTGATGTGATGTGTATGGTTCCACGTCAATGTCAATATCGGTCAAGATTTATTTTATTTTTAATTCAGTGTGTGTGTGTGTGTGTGTGTGTGTGTGTGTGTGTGTGTGTGTGTGTATGCACGCATGCGAGCACACGCGTGCATGCGTGCAAGTCCCAAAAAGGCCAAAAGAGGGCACTGGATCCCTTGGAGCTGAAGTTACAGGAAGTTGTAAGCCACCCAATGTGGGTGATAGGAAATGAATTCAGGTTTTCTAGAAGAGGAAGACATGCTCTTAACTGCTGAGCCATCTCTTCAGCCCCAAAGTCTGTTTCTTATACATGCTATAAGGCCACAGCAGGCCAACATGGGGATCTGTTTGTCATATTCCTTTGGGAACTCAGAGTTGTGAAACATCTACCATCTCAGTGCTGTGGCATGAGTGACAGACATGTCTAAGAGATACAGAAGACACAGTAAATGACAGATAAGAAATGTCAGATAAAATATAGGGCACCCAATGTAAGTGTGAATTCAAACAAACAACTGTCTAAAATAAAGAATGTATCAACCATTGCTTGAGGCATGTTGATAGCAGCAAAAAAAAAAAAAAAGTCATTAGCAGTTTATCTGAAATTCAAACTCACTTGAATATCTTCTAATTTTACTAATCAGAGTTAGTGTTGCCCATCACTTTAGCTTATAACTTTGTGGCCAAAGTGAATCACATGATTCAAGAAAACAGAAGAATCCCAATCTACCTCAAGGGTAAGAAACACAGGGTGAATTCTGTGAATAGTAGTCCTGAACCATGTAGAAAGACCTACCCGTGCTCATTCTCAATGCAGACATATGTTTTTAGTGAAGTGATAATTGATGAGTAACCTTGCACACATTCTTAACGAGATGCTCTGCAAACTTTTGGTCACTTCCAAGTTTTTCGTAAGCAAGCTGAGAAAATACATAACACCTGGTTTGGGTAAATAATCTCCAACCAGAGGACAGAGGCAATCTTTCTTTCTTGCTCTGCAGTCTGAACTGGTGAAGTTGGCTTTGCTTCCCTTTTTCCTAAAAGGCGAGGTTATAGCTCATTCACTAATTGTTAATTAGGCAGCTCTCAACTCAGTAACTGCAAACTCTTCAAGAATCTTCAACGACTACACAGTCACAGTTTTAACTGTTAAAGCGGGGGAGGCTATTTTTTCTTATTGAATTATGTTCTTAACCTCTAGTTGCAGAACTGAGCTTCAGTTTTGTGAAAATAAGAAAAAAATGGTTTTTCGTATTGAAATTGAGTAGGAAACTAAAGAAAAAATTCCCACTACTAGATTATGCATCATTCAGGAAAATGCTATTATAGTTTATTTTCTCTTTTGAGGTGAAATTTGCATATTATATATACATTATACCTGGGGGGTACATGTATTTAATCTGAGCATTGGGGAGGTAAAGGCAGGCAAAGGCAGATCTCTGAGTTCAAGGCTAGCCTGGTCTACAGAGCGAGTTCCAGGACAGCCAGGGCTTCAAAGACAAACTGTCTTGAAAAAACAAAACAAAACAAAAACATTACCTATATACAAATAGTAAGTGTATCATTTGAGGAGTACACAGCGGTGTTCTTGTGTAACCCAAGCCCTTCTCTACACCAGCTGTTACCATCACATCTGATTCAGCGGTGTACTTGTGTAACCCAAGCCCTTCTCTACACCAGCTGTTACCATCACATCTGAGAGCATTCCTTCACAACAATTCCTTCTCCATCAGTCTCTGTCAACTTCCTCTCCAGGGACAACTACCATTCTTTCTTTTTGTTCCTTTAGATTAGTAGGATTCCTTCCAGACCTCCATGGATTTCCACACTTTTTATGCTTCATCATAAAATCATGTTTAAAGGATGCATTATTATATCTGTGTTTTATATAAATTCTGTCTCTGATACAAAGAATGGCAATCAGAGTCACCTTGATGGGTTCTACAGTTATCTCTACTGTGCACAGTAACATCCCACACCTAAGACCCCACACTGGGCTGTTTGTATTAGAATTTTCCCACCATCGTCTCACAGTGTTGCAGATAAGTCCCGCTGTTAATACAGACATTAGTTTCTCACCCTCTAAATGAAAAGGACTATGACCACTCCAACAGGCTCTCTCTCTAAGCTCGGCTCCACAGGGTGGTGACTGGTGACACACAGCTCCTCTACCTCTTACCATCCCTTTGTCCTACTCCTCCCACAGTCAGTGGCTGCTTCACATTTAGTTGAACAGTGCCTGAGTTAGCACTGATCACAGTACCGGGTAGTAACAAGTCAACCCTTCTGCAGATAACTTATTCTGCTTCCTCTTCATGGGAACCAAACTAATTTCCACATGGCTCAGGGTGGTTTCCATTTCTGGCCCTTGAAGCAAACCTCCAGACCTCATCCAAAGGCCCAAATTTCATAGTTCTCTCTGGCAGTGCTAGGTCTCACTTTACAAAGGGTCCCTTCCTCCCCAGTCCATTCTTGCTGGTGTTTAGTGAAGGTGTTTAGTGAAGGAAGATGGGCCGGGGAGAGGGGTTGCAGCAAGGCTGTAGTCTCCCACCAGACAACCAAGTACACGGGGACTTCTGCTGTTCCAAGTCTTCAGTGTGAGCCCAGACACAGGTGGGATTGTCCAGATGAGTGCAAGCTAATCCCTTGAAACAGGACTACTTGAAGGCTTAATCATTACATGGTCATGAATGACAAGTTCCAGTCCTACTTGCCACAAGGAAGTCCCTGAGGCCCTGTGCAAATGACAGTAAGCAACAGTGCATTTCTTTCACCACCCTTGCCAACCGAACACCTACACCTTCATTTTTAATTCCACACCTGCTCCATATGTCTAAAGATTTGTTCTTATTTCTTTTCAAATACTTTAAGTCACCTAAAAAAATACCTGTAAAACTTTCCCCAAAGCAGAAAGGTTGAGTCAGGTGTAGATTAGAAGAAAGGACATATGACAGGTAGGATTTTAGTTGTGGGGGAGTGGCAGGGGATGAAGGGAGGGAGAAGGGAACTGGGATCGTCATGTAATTCAATCTTGTTTGTAATTCAAATATATAAAAAATAAAAAACTAAAAAAAAAAAAAAACTTTCCCCAATTCCAAATGCTAAATTTCCACCCTTCAACCTGGAAGTCATTACCTCATTAGTGGTCATGGTGTTTTATCATAGCAATAGGAACCTTAACCAATATGAGTCCCTTTCATAATAATAAACCTCATACCTGAGGGGACTACGTGTCAGCCTCCTTTCCAGGCAGACCGCCACTGTGCCTCTCACATTTTACTGAACATATACTTCCTATTCACCTGAAGACATTCACACCACACCAACTGGTCAGTTATGGTCACCACTCTCATTTGAACAAAAAGCTTTAATGCTTGTTTTTAAAGTTTCAAAGAGTGTGAAAAAGAACAACAGGTTTTGTGAGGTCCTGGGAGCTTCCCTCATTGGGAAGGTTGTGAGTTTCACTGCAAGAACTTGACCACAGCTTTTCTCGTAATAAGTCAGCCTTTTTGGCTTGCAGCCTCTTTGTTTCTATAAGGTAGACTGCAATGGGACAAAATTCTAAATACAAAAGATTTACTATAACCCATTAAGAGTCTACCCCTGCTTTTATACTAAGTGAGACACTGATTACCAGACATTCCCCACCCCAACTTTTTTGACATTTAGATACCCAGAAATTCCATTTCAGAGTAAGATTCCCAAAGGAACTGACAATGCGATTTGGGAGAGACATCTGTGCACTGCTGGTCACATTGGCTTTATACACAATAGACAAAAGGTGGCAACAGTCCAAGGATCCATCCAACCAATGACAGACAAAGTGCATCATAGGTACGGACAAGGGAGTATTATTCAACCTTTAAAAAGAAAGACTATACCATGGTTATACCTTGAGGACATCACCCACAGAAAGACAAAAACTGTGTGACTCTATTTATATGAATGTCTTTGGAGTATTTGAATTGATAAGAAAGACAATTGGTAGCTAGCAAGGGGCTGTTTGAAAAGCTCTGGAGACTGTTTGCACAGCAGTGTACTGTGCTGTAACAGACAATGGTTAAAATGGATTGTTTTATGAGCACTTCACCACAATTTATAAAAATTATTTATTTGGGCCGGGTGGTGGTGGCGAACGCCTTTAATCCCAGCACTTGGGAGGCAGAGGCAGGCGGATCTCCGTGAGTTCAAGACCAGCCTGGTCTACAAGAGCTAGTTCCAGGACAGCCTCCCAACACAGAGAAACCTTGTCTCGAAAAACCAAAATTAAAAAAAAAATTATTTGAGTTGGTTTTTTTCTTTTGTTTCTTTCTTTCTTTGTTTTTGTTTGAGACAAGGTTTCTCTATACAGTCCTAGGTATCCTGGAACTCACTATGCAGACCAGGCTGGCCTTGAACTCACAGAGATCTACTTGCCTCCTGAATGCTGGGATTGAAGGTGTATGCCACAATGCTGACTCTATAAAACCTTTTTAAAGTCAGAAATTCTGTAAATTTACAGCCTCTTGTTCACAAGTATGAGACCCAGAAAGCTCTGAAAACCACAAGTCTTGATCACAGCCTCCTGTCCCAGATGCCACTGACATGCTACATAATAGATGGCCTGTGCATCATATTTCTCCTCAAAATCAGCAAATCTCCAAATGCTGATGCACACCTGGCCTTCAAAGCTTTCAGATAAAGGATCTTTGACCTGGATTCTGGTAATATCCATTTTTGCTCTCTAGATGCAGGCAAGCACATCGATTGTGGAGGCCTGATCCATGCATCCCACCTAACTGCTGCCTCACACTGCTCTCATACAGGGGTTGTACTGGCCACTTGCTACTCTGGCCAAATGAGCAGTGACTGAGGAACGTACCTAACAGCAGGCGTCTCCTAGCTTACATTCCCTGGTTTGTGCACGTTGCAAACCAGTGAGGCAGACAGTCCAGACTCCACTCTAAGTATGGGAATGCTACAGGGTGCTTACCAGGTCACATCTGGGCACACTGGAAACAAACTGTGCTCCTTGACAGCCTAGGATGAATCCTGCCAGATTTAAGAGGATGCAAACCACAGAGAGCAGCACAAAAAGGTTTACCTGCAACGAGACAGAATGGGTGCTTAGAAAAGAACATGGCTAAAAATGCAAATAGCTTCATGTGCAGATATATATTAAACACATACATTTATGGCAGACATTATCTTTCTGGTGAAAGCTTTAAGGACAAAGTCAAAGTCAAAACCTTAAGAAACAAAGTGAAGTCATGTTTTAATTTTTTTCATATTTCTAAGTTCTGTGTGTTCTCCAGTCTTTACAGCAATCTCGGGTTCCTATTTTCTTCATCTTTGCAAATATTTCTTCTTCCTTCATCTTTTATCTGGATCTTACAGTGTGTTCCAGCTACTTCCTCCTTGGGCCATTTAGACTTTGCCTGAGTTTTACTGGTCAGTAACTGTAGGAGGCAGATGTAGAGCCCAGGGGTCTAAGCTGACCATAGGAAGAATAAGAAGCTGAGTCATTAACACCCAAAATCACAGTGTATGAACTAAAGTAAGGGGAGATGCTCTTGTTTCAGTCCAAAGCAGCTTAGGTTCTAAAGAATGTTCAATTATCTTCCATGAACTTTTAATCTGAAGCTAAAAATAGAATCACTTCAAATAATTAAGGACTGACTGAAGTCACCGAAGAAGTCAGTATTTGCTTGGTACCAATTAGAGATTAAACATGTCTTTCAACTTGAAAACTGATTACTGCAAAAAATGAGACCTTATCAGAAACAAAAGCAAATATAAAACATCAGAGTTGATAATTATCAGTATTAAAGCCAGTCATATGTCAAAGCTGGCTAGCAAATGAGTTTATATATAAACATCAAATTACCAAAAACATCTTCCTTAACTTCTGTTCTTACTTCAAAACAGGCCAGCAAAATCTCAGACCCACTCTGTGAGTTAACAGTTAACACCACATGATGCCATTTTCCCTGGAGGAGGGGGTTTTCTTCTTCCTGGGCAGCAGAACTTGGCTTCTTTCCTTTTGCTGTTACTTTGCATAAATGCCATTGTCAAATCTTTGGGAAATCCTGCGGGAGCTGCTGTTGTGACTGTCACAAGATGGCATCCCCACTGATGTGAGCAGCATCAAGCCCTTTGCACTGTATCATTTATGGGGAAAGAAGGATGCAGAACTGGCCAAGGGCAGAGTGCAATCCTCCCACATGAACTCCACATAGCAGTTGCTATTTGAAGAACTGTAATGTGTCTTCAGTCTTCAGACACAGCAACACAACTAGTATGATTACAGACAAGACTTAAAGTTGGCTTTGGAAATTTTCTTTTATTTCAAGATAAGATACCTTGAGAAGAAAATGTTGTTATGGCCTGTATCCCCACCAGCATAATCACTAATCTTTATTATCAAAAATTAACACCATTGCATAGAAAATGCATGAAGTCCCATCACTCCCAACACTGGACCCCAAAATTCTTCAACAGAATCTTAAGCTCATCAAAAGACACAGGCTAGGAGAAAATATTCTCATAAACATAAAATATTTTACTTATACATTATATATGCATATATATGTTTATGTGTGTACACAGGTATATGTGTATATACCCCTGTATACATATGCATGCAGAGGCCAGAGGACAACCTCAGGCATACTTGTTCAGGCACCACTGACCTTGTTTTTTGAGACAGGGTCTCTTGCTGGAGCTCGTGGATTTGCCTAGTTTGACTGGCCAGTAGCCTCAGGAATCTGCCTGTCTCTATTTCCCCATAGCTGGAATTACAGTACAACACCATGCCTAGTTGTTTTGTTTTTTTTTTTTTAACATGGGTTCTGGAGCTTGAACTTGAACTTGAGTCTCATGTTTGCAATGTGAACCCTTTACCAGTTGAACTGTGTGTCCAGCCCCACAGCAAATATTTTCATGATACACCTGCTTGTAGAACATAGAATAACTACCTACCTCAGTAACGAAGTGACAATCCTATTAAAGAATGTAGACCTGCGCAAACATTTTACACACACACACACACACACACACACACACACACACACACACACACACGGAGGGGGCTGAGAAAGCAGAATAGCTAAGAAGCACATGACAAGGTATTCAACATTATTAGTCATCTATGAATGGATGAATGGAAGTTAAACCACAATGAGACACCACTACTCCACACCATCTTAAATGGTTAAATTTTCAAAGTCAACAATGCCAAGTGTTGCTGAGGATGAGGAGCATTTAGACATTGTTATGTGAACAGAAAATAGTGCCACTGCTGTAGAATACAGTCAGTTTTTCAAAAACTAAATAGAAATCTCCCATGTAGAAGATCCCAAATAATTCATGAAGATACTTCACCCTCTGGTCTCTACTACATGAGTCACAGGGTGACTTCCTTCCAAAAAAACAAAAAACAAAAAATATCCAAGAGGAGATAAGTAACTCCCCATCAGAGCATGGGGCCTCAATAAGATGGACTGGAAATAGTACTTTGCAACTATAATCCTCTTCTTCCTCTTCCTCTTCCTCCTTCTCCTCTTGGTCCAACCATTAATAGCCTCCATCTGAGTACCACATCAGACCATCTCAATCTTGAAAAATACCCAATAAGCATCACTCAAATATGTCAGTGTCATCCCAGGAGACAAGGGAACCCTGAGAAGCTGGCTTAGCCAAGAGGAGCCTTGGTGGACCTGGCAGCTTTGTAACATGGCCTCCAGGATGGGATCCCAGACAGAGGCAGACAGGATGATTAACCTGGGAATCTGAAAAGTAGAGTCTTTAAATGACCGCACAGTATCACTACTGATTGCAGCTTGTGACAAATATATCATACTACAGTAAGATACTAATAACAGGGACAAGGCAGCTTAGTGTCCTCCAAGGACCTCTTTCGGAAGCAGCATTGAGTCCCAGGGAACTACTGATTATAAGGGACACACAGGTCTCCCAGGAACCTTTAATTTGGACTCCCCTGGCTTTACCATGTGATGGTGTGACCTCCAAGACCTGAATTTCCACCTGACTTTCACTGATGTTGCACCAACAACAAACACTAGGAAAACATCAGCTTACAAACACTAGGAAAACATCAGTTGTTAACTACACAAAAGCCACCCAGCAACACCCAGGAAGGGGACATTTTTCTTACATTTCTTATATTTTATGCATTCCTTCCTCTAAAAATATCACTACAGGTGATTTAAGGGTTTTCTATAGAAATTTGAAATATGGGGCCACAATCCAGTGCAAATTTGCAAGACTCGCTTTTCAATAGGTCTTTGTACTTAGCAATGTTTAGAAATTAATGTTTGTACAAATTTTCCTATCTTAAAGTCCTTTGAAAAATACTATACACTCTTTTATTAAGAATAAAGGGAAGGAAATCTGGGCATAATGGCACATGCTTTTAATCCCAGGACTTTGGAGGCAGGGGCAGGTGGATCTCTGCGAGTTCCAGACCAGCCAGGGCTACATAGAGAGACTCTGTCTTGAGAAAAGTGAAAAAAAGAATAAAGGGCATTCCCTCTTTGGAGGAGACAGCTTGTTATTACAAAGTGAGTTTTACAAGACGGTCACTGGGCCTGGCACCAACCTTTCACTCTTTAGTCTGTGAGCTTCCCTTCCCACTCCCCACCCCCACCCCATCCTCTCCATCTGTGGGGACTTGCTCTGAGGACTGCATTAAATGACCTCTTTGCTTTTGGCCTCTAGCCTCTAGTTTGAATCAGTCAAAGAGAAGCCGTGACAGAGACCAGAGGGAGAAAAGCAAGGAAGGCTGTGGAACTGGTCCTCTGGCTCCTTCTTTACATCTGTGGCCAGCTGTATCCTTAGGGGAGAGCCATGGGCCCTCTCTGGGGTTCTTCCCAGGATGTTGGCTCTTGGATGCTGACCACAGCACCCCACCCCTTGCCCAGGTTGACAGAACAGTAATAGTGTGCTCCTTACAGTATACATGGGTGCTTGGAACTGTCCCTTCCTTAACCTCATGTCATACTATAATTCCACCGTCTGCTTTGTGCTGGGAGCCTGACACAACTTCTCTACAAAGCTTGCCTGTATTTAACCCAGGCTTTCCACTCTTTGAGCTCAGATCCCTGCCCTCAGGTGAGTCTTCATCTGCCCAGTGCCACAAATTGGGCCAGTGAATTCACAAAAGCTGATTTCACTCTGAAAAACACAAAGTTCAGGGTGGAAAGAGAAATGGCTGTCTACAATTTTTATCTTAGAGGGTGAGCTGTAGGGAGAGGCAAAATATCACCCTGAGGTCTTTAAGGATAAAATATGCAATCCAAAATCCAGAGAGAGAGTCCTCCTAGGGAGAGCCTTTCACGTGTGCTTACTAATCAGAGAGTCCTCCTAGGAGAGAATCCTCCTAGGGAGAGAGTCCTCTCTCCTAGAGGGAGCCTTTCATGTGTGCCTACTAATGTACATTGTATTTTATGAATACTTGTATCAAATGCTTTCATCCAAAAGGTATTACTGTTTTGATTTGGTATTAAAACTTCACCTCAACTCAGATCTCTTGCAATTGAGATGCCATTTTAATCTAGGTCTTAATTACGTGGCCCCCCAAAAAAAGAATATTGGCAGAGCCTGTGGCAACCCAGAAGCCTAGCCCTGGGTTTGCCTATTCCTTCTACCTGAATATTTTCCATAATCCCAACACACAGCTTCATTAAATACTTATGTTCACCATAGCTTGGTATTAAGTGGCTCTAAATTTCATTCTAAAGATAGGCAGAACTTTCCCTCCTGCCTATATTTTTCCTTACTTCCATACTACTCCAAGTTCAGGGACTTGAATTTCCTGTGTGTGTCTAAATGATAAATAGCTTCAGGTGCTAAAGGAAGGCATCAGCTTAAAAGTGATTATTATTTAAAATGAATTTAGACATTTTATTTTCATTCAATATGTTTGAGTGTTTTCCTGCACGTGTGTGTGTGTGTGTGTGTGTGTGTGTGTGTGTGTGTGTGTGTGTGTGTACACTGTGTGTGTGCAGTGTCCACAGATGCCAGAAGAGGGCATCAGATCTCCTGGGACTGAAGTTACAGAGGGTTTGTGAGGGGCCATGTTAGTGCTAGGAGACCAACCCTGGTCCTCTGCAAAAGCAGCAAGTGCTCTTAACTGTTGAGTTATATCTCAGCAAGTAGTTTAGCATAGTAGTTACTGAAAAAAAAAAAACACAAAAACAGCATTAAAGTGAAATCTTTGAGTGCAGAAATTTAAAAGACCAATAACGGGGAAAACACAAAGATTTGGAAGGTAGAATTGACTCAGGAGTCCCAAGGAAGTGGATTGTGCAACACCCACAAAGGAAAAGATAAAAATGAAAAGATTTACTCATCAGA